AGAAGGTAACTTTTGTGTCGAGTTCTCAAAAAATGAAGGAGATGTGGTCAATTGAACGGAGGACACAATCGGCAAATCATGGATCCGTCACGTTACAATTGGATTCTACGGCCATCTTGACCGTGCTTCACATGCAGAGATGGGGTGGCGCTGCTTCGTCCATTCAAACCTCCGAGCAAATTCCATTCCTGCTCACGACAGACAGGTTCCATGTCGCTGACGTTGCCTCTGTGCTGGGATGGGCGGCATGGCGGCGATGGAAGATCGTTTGGTTCACCACAATATTATTACGCTCAACGCTTTTTTTAGTCTTTAATATATCGTAATCTGGCCATAATTTAATCTCGATTTTCAACGCAAAATTTGGAGGGTAACCTGTATAAATACATATTTGATCGAATGCGACAGAACAATATCATTTTTCACAACCTTTCGCTGTGACGATGTCGCGATTTCTCGTCCACGTGTGCGTGGCGCTGGCCGTGCTCTGCGGCGGCGCCGCTTCTGTTCCTGATGCTACCGCAGTAACGATTGTCTCTGCGAAAACACTGAATGAGCACTTCAAGCCGGCCGTCCCGTTTCAGATTGAGTCGGCCAAGCAACTCCATGCAACGGACGACTCCAAGTCGCAGTGGCGCATCACGTCGAACAAAGGCGCGTTTGACATCAACGTCCAAGAAGACGCTAGTACGAAGGAACTGTCACTTGTTTCCGTCTATCAGATTGGAGTGGATGGCACGAAAACGTTGATCTACGAGCCCAAGGGTCTCCCGACAACATGGCTTCTTGGCTCGGGTTTGGCACTGCTCATTGTCGGTGTCGTGGTCCTGACATCGTCACGACCATCTTCCATTGCACGAGCTCCTGCAGCCGTGCCGCCCTCTTCGCCTAAAGGCAGCGCCGAAGCGACCAACGCCTCCCTCCGCCGCCGTCGTTCCAAGCTCGACTAACTCAGTCCCACCTCCATAGACGACTGTAACATGGCACAATGCACATCAACCGCCATGCAACCGCATGAGCAATCTTGTTGAGGAAAGGGAGCTGCGCCAGGTCTTCTTGTCTGCTTCCATGCGTCCGAGGCGATTCGATTCGCCATAAACACGCACATTCGTCTAACTTTCAGAGATGCCAGTGCCACGCCACCCGGCTGTACGGTGCGGATATGGGCCGCTGTTGGCGCGTCGACTTCAGTGCTTCGCGCGATCGCATTCAACCTTTTGGTCGGGACGGGGAGGCGCCCATGATCTTGTGAAAGGGCCACGGGGCTCTGAGGTGGATTGCGGCTTTCCCGGTCTCTTTCCTGCCATGGCGCTTCCGTCTACACTTCTGGCGGTATCTCGCCCATGAGCACATCGTCAATTCTGTTGTACTCTAGCGGCCTTGCCCCAAGTACGATGGACGTCTGCACCAGTTCATGTTCGGGAAGACGAAATTGTCATGCCGTTTCGAGTTTGTTGGTGTGGACATGCTGCTGCCAGGTTGCGAACACACATCACTCGCCCCCCAAGCCTTGTCAAGCGGAGAAGTGTGATTACACGCTTGAATCGGGCGGCAACTCGATGCGGTGCGTCCACTTTCTTGACCTGCCCATTGTCCCTACATTGTCTAGCGTCGGTAATAATTCCGTCCAACCAACGCAGCGACGGTGCATGGCTTTGGAGACCTCTTCAGCACCATCGGTCGTCGCTGGATGGCACCAAAGAGCATTTAAAGTCCAACGCGAATCGCAGCCCTGTTCACGTGATGTCCTGAAGCTCCAGATGAACGTTAGCTTGTGCTGGGCTCCGTGTTGGGGCCAGCGTGATGTGTTTCGGTCATATCGCAGGCCTGTGCGCGCCACAGCCTTACTATGCACAGTTCGTCGCCTCGCACGTGGCACACACGTGGGCCGCCAGGGTGTGGCCGATAGATTGTCTCGACGTAGTTTGCGGCGGATTTTAAATTCTTTCTAAATACGTTTGATACGACTCGATTCGTATTTCAAAAGCATTAAAAATATCTTCGATCTGGACCCGCGAATCTCAGTTGCCTCACCCTGATACGCCACCGGCGACAGCTCATCCACACGACACCGGCACGATCGTTCAAGCTGGACATATCTTGGCCACGCAACTCGAGAGAACTACTTTCGAAGTCGCTACTGTTCAGCGATCATCGAGGCGTTCCCGATGACGCCGCGAGATCCGATCCTGTCGTGGCCCGCGACCGCCCACTCGAGTGGTGGCTACCCCCACCACGACACGCGCAATTCGTTCGATGATGACCTTGAATCCGAGCTCGAGAAGGCAGGCTACGTCGAAAACAACACGTTTGAAAACCTGCCACTACGCGTGCGGATCGTCCTTGGCTTTCTCTTCTTGACGCTTGCACTCGTGTCTTTGTACGCGTTCATGGTGGCCATC